AGAGGAAATAGTAAGATTCTAGGAAAGTAACAGATCAAAATTTTTATAAATCTTAAAACAATTTTCCTATTTGAAACTAGGCATCCTTAAATCCTTATTTCTCGCCCAAATTGCGTGTTTCACCCTCTTTTTTACTGAATGTAAAGAGAATTGTGGTTTCTTTTAAACATTGAATCTCTTTGTATGAAATCTGGGGCACCTGTATCTGTAAAGCTGAAAGTTCATTCGGTGGTTTCAAGGTGAAAAATGGATCTCTGTCTTAGTTTCGTTATATGAATGATTTTGGATGTTGAATCTCTATTATCACTACATAGCTGAGATTATTGAAGCAATTATTCTAAATTGATGGGTGGGCTCAAAAAAAGCATTTGCCAATTGATAACTGCTAATAGAGGAGGGCATGTTACTAACAAGGCACAGTGTCTTAACCTCGGTACATTCTCAGGAGTCGTCCTGGTGTGACAAATGTGTAGCAAAGGTAGAGAGCAGAAGGTAGTCCAGCACCTGAGGATCAGTGTCACATCGTTAAGGTATCCCTCTGACTAGGGAAAGGTGTGTGAAATAGGACTTTTTGCTACGAGGCAGTAGTTCCGGCACACAATCCGAATTGCTAAAATCCTGCTCGGAATGGTTAACCCTGAGCACCTCGGACGAATGAGATAAATGCTGTCCATGGACTAAGCAAGGTAGTGTTAATTTTACCCTCGGCATAGGAGTCACCCTGAAAAGGCAGCTCTGGCTTTGGCGGGGATGGCTGCGAGGGCTTCCTCGAGCACAGCAGCACCGATCTCCAGCACCCTCTGCCGACCAAACCGTTCGTGGCCTTCTGGACCACGCTAGCGCTCTCCTGTCCAGCCTTCAGTCAAATGAGAGCGGAAATATTGAAATGAGGTCGCCCGATATTGGAACGGAAGCCTGATCTTAAGAAAAAGGGACCTTGGATTCAAGACTGCTTGGAGAAGTACAGGGAGTTTTGCTTGTTGGTGCTTGTGAAGCTCGCTCTTGAGCTGCTGAGCGTATTATTCCAGTGTTCAGGCAAGCAACTGGGGGAGTGGCAGAAAAAGCAATGTTGGAATTTTAGATTTCTTCCACGTAATATTGATGAATTGCTGATTATTAAGAAATAGATATAAGACAATTAATATCTATAATGCTGCAAGTTCTAGAAATTTTAGATTGATTGAGATAATTTTGAAGAGAAACATTTGTCAGATCAGTGCTTTTGAAGTTTCATAAATGTGAATTCAGCTTCTTGTCCCATCTATAGATATATTTGACAAAAGTAGCTCCCTGGTTAGCTGGACAAGCAGCAATTAGAACTGCAGTAGTACTTTGGGGAGAATTATTGAGGAAGGCACATTTACAGCTTGAAAAACAGCTGTACCTAGTTTTAGTGGCATAGATTATGGTAAACAGATTTTCCAAATGATGTGTCTTTTTGTTCATATTTTAAGCATACATTATTGAATCTTAGGGACTATGAAGTTTAAAAGATTATTGAAATAAGCCATAGGGCATCGGAGTATGCACATAACTGCATATGTGTTATTGGGTTATATATCAATTCATTTTTTTTACAAAGGATGAACTGCCACAGAACTAGTCAAAGCTTGCTTTTGTTGATTTAAAGAAAAAAAAATGTTACTTGAATTTGAATAATTTATATGCTTACTTGCCTTACTGCTTGTATGGTAGTTCTATATAACCTTTAGGTTTATAGTTAATAAGCCCATTTCAAATATATATACCATGAAATTTAATTGTAGTCGATATGGTGTTTGTCAGTGCAGAACCAGGCTGATTACTGAAATATAATTACCTTGGTGGAAGTGAGGGGGGCACCCTCTCTAAGATACTGCCTTAATAACTTGATAATATTTAAGCAGGGTGCTTAAAAAAAGAAAAAAAAAAAAGATGGGCAGTTATTTTAAATGATCTTCAAACTGTAATTAAATTGATCCAAAACAACTAAACTATTTTGAGACACCTTTACCCGAGCAATAGTCATCATTAAATTTTGCATTTTAATATTACAATGTAAATAAGCTATTTCTGATTTTCCAAGTAATGCACTTAAACAAAAACCCCACTACAGTAGTTTCCCAGGAGCAACATATATAAGGCAGTGATAGCAATATTGTTCATATTCTACTTCAATGCTCAAAAGCTTTTTTTGTTTTTTTCTACCGCTGCTAGTTGTAATTTAATTTTTTCTCTTGGACGGTATGACTTATGCCTTGCAGTCCAAAATGTGAAGATGAGACCTTTAATTTCTCACTGATTCAGAACAAAATATTTATTGTTATTATTAATTTGAAATTGCATTGATAGTACCTTTTGTTTAAATAGACAATACCATACTTTTTATTATTAGTATAAGCCATAATTTTACTGAGAACCATTAGCTATTTAAAACTTCGTACATAAATTAAAGAGGAGCTAAATGGATTTGCTGTTGTTGCCATTAGTAGCATTTTAAATTATACAGGCAATTATTGTGTTCATTATCCTAGAGCAGCCCGTTTGCAAAACTATTGTGGTTGTTTTAGACATTTTGTACAAATTTTCCCTTGGAGATTAAAATTTCCAGTGGTGTGTTTAATTTCGTGAACACAGTTGTTTCAAATAGAACAAATATTATGACAAGTAGAAGAAAGTTTGTTTTACATGTATGAGAAATAACAATAAACTTTAAAAATTACTCCAATTCTTAAATCAGCTATTTTGAATCCTGTCATTTTTCTCTCTTCTGATTATTTTGAGCATAGAACAGTTTATATAGGGAGTGAAGAAATCTTAACATAGTATGCTTTGCAACCATTTTGATAAAATCAGTGTAGTTAAAAGTTAACCTACTTTTCCAACAATCAGCTAAAATATTTAGAAAGAATTAGTGAATTTCTATATGAAATGTCTGGCAGAATAACCTAGATAAATGAATAACATGCTTCACGGTTTGAATACAGAAGTTGTTTTAAGTGGCAAAGAACAGGGGGAAAAAAAGGCCTTTGGAGTATATTGCAGTATGCATTAGTAACTAACTTTTGAGAACCAGTGAATGCCTTTTTATTAAAATTTATTTTCTTTGTCTCCCTTTTTAAATAAATTTTTGCAATTGTCTTCACTTACTATAATAAACTGAAATTGTGGACAATAGCATAATATAGATTTAAAACAGTAATATTAATAAGGTTAATGACATTGATATATTCATCAGGTCTTTGTTGTTTTAATATCCCTCCAAAAACAGTTTTGTTGGATTCAAAACTTAAATTCACATGTGTCTTCATCAATTAGAAAGATATTAATGCACTGAATTAGCTACGTATCAGTGTGCAGTGGACTACATTTAATGTTTCTGTCCCAAAAGTGGCATTCTTTCAAAAGAAGCTCTTTATTCGTGTCTGTCATGGGGTGGGGTTTTTGCTGGGGGAGGACTGGGAGAGATAGGCTTTCACTGCTATGATGCAGGAAAAACAAGTGTGAGGTAGTGGTTATGCATATTGCAAGACAGTGATTCTTTATTTTATTACAAAAAAAAAGACCAACTCTAGAAGGCCAGATTAAATCATTCCTTTCACTTTTTAATGGGATTTGGATGAATAGAGTAAAATATGCACTTTGCATTCATTGATAGCATCTTTAGGTTGAGGTAATTGAGTCTTTTTTCCCTGACTGAATGAATAATGACTTCATCTGATCCTCAGCGAGGCCTGAAACTTAGGCTGCCTTTGTCAACGCAAAGAGATCTGGGCTTTGAAACATGCTCTACTTCCCTGGCTTAATTTTTCTTCATTTTAATCCAAAAACCTATTTTTCTCAATAATTCAAGCATAAACTATGTAGTAGTTGAAGCAGCGGAAATTGCAAGATATTTGTCCTCGTTGTGCTGCTTTTTAAATGCAGCTGATAAATCAGCCGCCGTGGTCTTCAGCTGCCTAGTTCTCTAGGGAAGGGAGAGCCCATGTGTAAGCAAGATTGCTGGAATTTTTAAGAACTATATTTAAATGGCTCTTTTGCAGACTGCTTGTTATCTAAGGAAGTGGTGTGTTTTACTGGTCTTACTGGAAAGGCGTAGAGATAAAAGAGCGTCTGTGAAGGGGCCAAAGAAAGTCCTACTGACATAATTTTCCCACATATTTGACTGGCTGTGTAGCATCATCCCCGAAAATGGAGTATAAATACTTAGCATACAGTATACATTATTAAAATGGTGAGAACCTTGGTTACATAGCTTTAATTTTTTTTTCATGAGAAACGTGTGTGAAAGATAGGATCTCTTAATATTTTTGTTAAAAATTGTCCAAATAAAGTACATTTCAGTCATGGAAAACAAACGCTCTGTCCTCCTGCTTTGATTTGAAAATGAATATTCCATTTGTGGTTTTATTTTGAATAACTGAAATTTTCATATAACTAATAAATGGTTTCAATGATAAGAATCGGGACTTACAGATTGGTGTGGGAGAGGTATAGTTACAAATACGGTGTATTAGTTGCGCAAGTAAAAATAACTCAGTCATGTTTGCCTGTTGGTTCTTGGTTTTAGGATGATGTTGATCTTAGCACAGTAAATGAGTGGTCACCACCCTGCAAATACAACGCAGATGACCGGAATTTTTGCTACGTCTGTGATAGAGGGAAATTGTTCTTGCTCATTTATTTTTCTTTATGCTGCCTTTTCTCCCTTCCCTACTGTCTCCCCATCCTCAGTGAGGGGAAGGGACGAGTTAGATATGAAGGCGGTCAAAAGACCCAACCGGGACAGATCCCCCACTGATTCTGGGAATTGCTATTGCCCTACAACCAGGAAACATTCATCATATACTGGCATGGGAACAATAATCAATTCCGTTATCAACATGCAGTTAAATGTTACAAATGCCTGGATTTTTAATAGGAACGATATTAAAAAGCCAGTAATAGCTAATTGTTTGCACTGCAAAAGTGTCAGTTCAAGAGAAACTCAAGGCTAACCTGACTTATATTGCTTTCTTTAGGTTGGCTTACTGGACCTGGAACTGAATCAACTGACCAAAGCCCTATTTTTGGCTTTAGTTGCACTCTCAGTTGTTATGGTAACCTTGCAAGGATTTGTAGGCCCATGGTATCGCAACCTTTTCCGGTTCCTCCTCCTGTTTTCCTATATCATCCCTATCAGGTATGTATAAGAATGAAAGAAAAATACAGATGTCTAATTTCACTGAATGTGGCTTTCTTGAAATTTATACTTGCTTCTCATTGTGAAGGAAATTGATCTTATCAGGAAGCTGAGGGAGAAGGTGCCAACAAATCTGCTGATTCTTGAAGGATCGCTGTCCCGAAAACAATACCGTCGTGTTTTTTTGTATAATGTTCATCTTGTTGGAGCAATCAGGATATCTAATCCTTTACTAGCATAAATGTATTAATAAGGATACGATCTTGATATATTTGAAAATGTGGGTTAGAAAACATGTATTTGAATGAACTTCTAGTTCTGTTTTAGTGTTTGCTTTGACTGTTTTAAACACTGAAGATGTTCAATGACTCTAGTTAAAATACTGACTCTTTTTCCTACAGCAATGTTTAATTCAAATTTAATGGCTGAATAATGTAGATGCGCTTTTACAATGAGAGAACTTTTAGCAGGTGTAACCAAGTAGAGAGTTAGCATTAATTAATTCATTAAGCATGAGTGCTGTATATTCAGATTGCAGGTAAACTAGAACAGGAAATAATATCCAGGTTGGTTATCTTGTCCTCTGTAGACATAAAAATGAGAACACTGGCTCTTAAATGATTTTTTTTTCCGTCCCTTTAGGTGGGTGTTACTGCTGCAAAATGGAATTATCCATCTCTGTTAAATTTTCTAGTGTTAGACTAAGTGGTTGTTAATTTTAGATGCCCTCTGAAATTCTTCAGTCCGAGATGCTCTGATAAGCCCAGTGACTAGCCAATGAGCAATGACAGCAACAGTATAGATAAATCGAGGTTTGCACACATTATATTTAAATCCATATTCTATTGTAAAAAAACAAACAAATGAAAACAAAAAAAAACAGCGTTCATTAGGTGTTTGATCTAGGTTTGTGTCTTAATGTTACTATACTTAAATATTTTCAATATGTCTGTACAGAGAGAACTATGTCGTATGTGGCCAATTTGATATTCAAGCAGGGTTTGTATCGAGGGCTAATAAATTAAAGGATTCGTTCCTTTGTACTACTTCTCTGTTTTAAGCAAAATTAATTCTATTAAGAATTTGACAAAGGTTCCATCTGGGAACTGGCTAGGGCGAGAAGAAGTTCTCACTGAATAAGCTAGTCATCTTAGATGACCTTCCACATGGACTGTTTTTACATATGCCTCAGTGTTTCATTTTTTGGGGTGTGTCTTTCTGAACACTGTCATTGCCATAACTCTGCTGTTTTTACAGTTATGTTGTTGGTATTTTCTCCTGTTATTGCATATTAAGCAAGTTACCATGTGGAGAGTCAAAAAATGCTGGTAGTTCTTAAGTGATAGGCTAATTTTGTGTATTGCCATAGGATGTGCTTAATTAATCAAAGAAACACAAGCAAAGGGTAGTCAGCTAAATGTATAGAGAATTATTTGCTGTGTTTCAATATATTCTTCCATAATAAACATATTCAGCCCAAACTTAGTGAAATGGTTAAAAGGCAGTTAAATCTCTATTATCGAATGCAAGAGGACTAAAAGCATATAGAGGGTGTGAGTAAATTTGACTCATTATATTGGCAACTCAGTATATGCCACTGAAACCATCATGTTGGTTGAACAGCTGATTTTCAGCATTTAAGAGAGCAGCTTACATGCGTCAGTAAACTTGTGGAATAGATCTTTCTCAAAAATATATTCTGGGACAGACCTAATCCATTTCTCATGGGAAAGTTCTATTTCTATGGGAGATAATAGACTAAGAGGAAGCATTAGAGAATTTAATTGGTTTAGTTCTGAAGCGGACCAAATTGTTATCCTGTGGAAGATCAGTCAGAAATCTAGCAGAGATTTTTTTTTCCCCCGCCTCTATATAGGTACATCTATTCCTATGCTAGCTTTTATTTATCACAAATCATCTGTATACAAGGCCACAGTCTGCACGATCAGTAAAATAAACAACTCCAGACTGATATTCAAATGTCAGTGCACTTATCTTCTCCTCAGGATATTAAGCATGGGAATATTGTGTTTTTAAGATACAACTTGAAGTGTAAATCTTTGGTGATGAAAACAGACTAGTGTGCTGAAGCACCAAGAGTTGTTGTCTTGCGTGTTCTTATTTATTTTTATTTTTAAAGCTATGGAGGAAAAAATAACTCTTTTGTAAAGATTAAAGGAGTGTGGGAGGAGAAGTTAGGATTGATTGGTAGAAGCAAAGCATATCTCAACTCACATGTGAAAATAAGCGCTCTGATAGTTTTGAAAGTATTCGGGAAGATTTCAAATATGGAACTTTTTTCATAGTCGGCTTTTGGTTCATACGACAGGGATGTGTGTGCATGGGAAGATTCCAGGTATGAAATAAAAATTTTTTTCCATGGCCAGGCATGTTGAGCAAAGGTCACCAGGAGGAGATGACTAACTGTTAGCAGTGTTTAACCGATCTATGGGTAGACTCTCCTATAATTAGCAGGAAAAAAAAAATGATTTTTTTTTCCCTCCAGGGAGCATCTAGTTCTTGATGATTCATCTGCATTCTGAGTAGTCCTCCAGAGCAATGTTGCTTTACTGTGGGAAAGGTATTACTGTGGAGACTGAGACTTCAGAAGTATAAACATAAAGCAAATACAAAAAGATTTTTTTTTTTGAAAACATTCCTTACATTCAAAGAATGAAGCAAAATGGGGGGAAAGTAGTAAATGGGCATCCAAAGCTTTGCCAAGCTCTAAACCGGTTGTAACTTAGAACCGCTATGACGCTGATGAGTGCACAGGCTGTTCTCTGTGTGTGAGAACACCGAGAAATGGTTAGTCTTTAAAAAATGAGTCTTCTACATTGATGTATTGATGTTGCTTTTTTCCCCCTCTGTGGAGAAGGCATAGCCTAGGGAACATCCCTGAAAAAATTGCCTTACTACACAAAGCTAATCTGTTTGAACTCCTACCAAAATCTAATGGAAAAGGGTGATAGAATGCAAGTCCTTGATGGACTGTCCAAAACTAAATAAACCTTTCTGGAATTATATTGAACCCCTTCATTATGTTTTTTTCCTTTCCCCCCCACCCCAGATATTCTTCCTTAATATTCCTTGAGCTTTTAAGTTGGTTTTAGCAAGACTGAGATGCATCTCAGGCATGTCATAGGTTTCTTCAGGGTCACATAGACAACTTAATTACTTGTTTTAAATACAATCATTGATTAAAATACATTCTCCATTAGTTTACAAGATCTTTTGCAAAAGGAACGCTTAAGGAATTCATACGATTTATGTTAGTCAGTTCTCAGTTGACCATGAGGAAAACATTGGAAGTGTTATATCAGAAATTTTTAAATACCCAAGTGTTACAAAACTGAAAAAGGCTGGTGTACTTTGGCATAGCCCAAAGCTTCAGAGAATTTAAACCTGGATTATAGCAATTACCTAAAAGCAGCTCTACTACTTTCATCATTGTAGTTAGAGCTTCATCATGGACAGTGCAAACATATAAAATGTATTTGAAACATATATCTATATGTTTCACCATATAGATAATATATAGATATGAAAGTATCTGTATATGTACTTTCACATATGCAGATAGAATATATTAGATCGTACAATTCAAAGCTTTCACTGTGGAAGAGCTGAAGAGCTATTCATGAATAGTGTAAGCAATGTTTATTAATGAGTAAAGCTTCTATATCATGGCATGATACAGAGTGTAGCTTTTATATAGATTGAAAAATATTACATAAAATATAATGAGCTTGGAAGCTCATTATCATCATCTGCTCCCAGCGTTCTCTGACTTGGTGTTTTGATGGGCTGCTTTTCATCTCACTTTTCATTTTTGCATTTAACTTCAGTGAAGTTGTAGGTTAGCACAGTACTTAAATGTTAATTTATTAGATTGAATTGCACTGGAGAAAGCTAATTGACTTCAGGAATTACTGGGTATAAAATGAAAAGTTACAATCCATTCTTCTCAGCATAATTATGTTGAGAAAAGGAGTTGTGGGTTTCCTCATCGTTGCCCAGAATACCAAATTTCAGGTCATTCTCACCCCTTTTTGAAACTAGTGTAGTCACATTTCCTCTAATCTTTTGTGTAGTGTAATACATTCTTTTAGCACAGAAGTCTTCAAAACTCCTTGGGAAGTTCATCATTTTTCAGTAAGTAAAAGTCAATCCAGTTGCATATCAGAGTAAACATTATTTGATGATTGATGATTACTTATAAAATTTGCGGCTTGGCACCATGAGGTGTCACAGATCTTAAGTGAACCTACTTTGTCTCCCTGTCCTCTGAAATGCAGAGCAAATACCAAGGGGAAAAAGGTAACCCATGTAATGATGAAAAAAGACATGCACAATGACTCAACAACAAAAAGGAGAGCTAGAATTGAACGCTCTGTATCTCCAGCTGGTAGACTGCTGGAGGTTCATCTCCACTGGGCAGTTTTGTTTGGATTTTTGGACCTGCAACATGTGTAATCATTTACTGATGTGAATATTCAGTGTTGTTTTTATTTATTCGGTTTTAGTAATTTTTTGCTATTTTTCTGAAAGCAACTAATCATCACTACAAAGCTTTTATACTCATCAAGGAAATGTTGGCTATATTACTGCAAAGATTATTAATGAAATAGAATTCACAGTGAGCAATGAAAGCCTATCTCTGAAAGCCTGCCTTTAGTGCCATTATAAAATACATGTTCACCAGGGAGAGAATTTTTCTTATCAGAGCGGAAGGTGAGAGGATGAACTTTCTTGTGCACTGAGAAATGATTTCTATCTTTTCCTTGTCTCTTGTTATTTGCATACCAAGTGAATGGAGAAACATCTACCGTTGTGCCATATCTAATGTATATTTTCTTATAAGCAACTACCTATGTCTTCCTGAGCAGAAGACTCAGCTTTATACCCAAAATGTTAATGCCGCCTTAAAGATTTTTTTTCAGAGTGCTAAATAACAGTTGCTTTGGAGAACTTGGTGTATCTTGGCTTGCATGAAGCTT